GGTGGAGGGCCACCCCTTGTCGGCTGTCCGCGACTGCTTATTCAATATATTCACAGCTTCCCTCCAAAACTGAAGGGCGTCTCCTCCATCCGCAACCTGAGGACGCGCCATGCCGTGGTGACAGGGACCCACCTAACATGGCAAACATAGGCAAACACAGAGATAAATTTTTATCTCATAATCCTGAAGGTAAAGTTGTTCCTGTGCTTGAGTACTTAAGCACTACGCTATGAAGGAGTATGGGGGAGTGGATGTATAGACTCATGTTTTCTTGACCTCGGCACCAGTTGGAGGCGAGTTGTCAGATTCACGCCCCGGCCGCTTAACCCCCGGGGAAAGCGGCTCCCTTGTATCCATTGGATAGGAGGTTGGGTGGACCCCAGAGTCGGTCTGGACGACATGGAGAAGTGAAAATTCTTGACCCCACTAGGACTCGAACTTCGACTCCTCGGTCGTACAGCCCATAGCCAGTCGTTATGCAGACTACGCAATCCCGGCTCTTAATTTCATTATCCAACTTTTATTAAAAAAGGAAAATAGTCTAAAGATAATGGGGTCTACTATTAATACCATCAGATGCAGCAGAAGACTTGTCATCCGCACAAACAAGGAACTAAGTGGCAGTTCTCAGGAAAACAGAGTTCACTGATGATACATCTCTGATCACAGAACAAGTATGCTCGAGGGCATGAAATATTATCAGTTACGTACATTCAATTAAACATAAAACCTGTTACATATAATTAACACTGAAACACTTTTAATAACACTTGAACATCCAAGAATATATTTTTCAGTGCGTGATATAAGAACTTTTTTTATACAGATATACTGCAGAATACATAAGCGGCAGTTAGTATCTGCCAAACCAACGATGTTATTACACAATCTGAAACACTTCCAACGCTAACACAGAATCCACCAGCTCAATCCAAAACACACTATCAGAAGTCCTTCATTAAGACACCTCCTCACTTCAAGGTTTTCGAAGAAATTTTTATGGAGGTCACTTTTAAAAATTTTGCCTGAAAAATGTAGTTTCTCTTCAGCTCGCTCCTTACCAAATCACCATTCTATATGACGAATAAATAAATTCCTTCTTGTATTTCACCCAATCCA